AACAATACATAAAACTGGTAATTAAATTGCTTAGAGTGCTCATAGTTTTATAATTGCACACATACACATGTTAAAAAAAAACTTATCTAATATCTGATAAATTTTTAATTAGTTTTTCCCCGACATCATTGACCATTGTATCACTGCCTCTCCTTTTTTTTGTAGACATAGCTTACTGAAGAGTTAGATGTTGACAACGATGTTAGTGACGACGACGAAGATGGCGATTCTTATCTTTTAAGGCTCTTGATTTTTTTAAATAAGATTAAGATTAACAATTTGATTTAAAACGTAAAAACGTACACAATGTGGCTTCGTAAGAAAAATTAGATGTTTCAGTTTGTTTAGGTTAAATTTCGAAAATTGATAAAAAAAACTAATGCCAAAGCATGGCCAGCATCTGGATGGCGATGTTTACATCGGAAATTGAAAAAGCTTTGGCAAACTATAACGTGCTAGTACGGGTGTGCGGACTTTGGTCCGATCTTATCATTCCGCCGTTGGCATAAGCCTCGGCCGAAGTCCGGCATGCCGCAGCATACGATGCTACGGTTGCCAGTACTGACTCAAGGATTGGCCGTATTGGCAGCTCTGGCAATTCTTTCATGGGCTGATTATTGTTATGTTCATTGTTCTGGACCACCTACAAGAAAAATCTTGGTTGTCTCTTGTCATAACAAAAATTTAAGGGTTCAAGGGTCTTTACCGTTTTAGCCATACAAGTGTTTTGAGTTTAATAAACTTTTCTAGCTTTTTTATTTATTTTTCCGAACATAGAAATAGTTACACATAAAAAGAGTTCGCTTTTTTCTCAAAGCCTAAGAAGTTTGATGTATTTGTAGTTATTCTCACTATGAAAAAGTGATAATGCTTATGTAGAAACTTTTTAAGACTAGGTAGGTGCTCATAACATAGTGTTGTTAAAAAGTTCTTAACTTATTTTAATCTTTGATGAATTACGGAGTGAAGTAGCAAATAAGTTGAAGAGTACTCATCATTCATCTATCCTAAATAATGACTCATGATTAATAATTTATAAACAAATAGTTATGATTTTATGGTATGTTACAGGGAAAATACATTTATGAACGCAGTGCTGCAAACGGTAAAAGAGTACAGTGCAATAATGGAGCAAAAAATCATTGTATAGTATTACCTGATGCTAATAAAAAAAAGAGCATTTCCCAAATAGTTGGAGCTGCATTTGGTGCAGCAGGCCAGCGATGTATGGCCATATCGGTTGCCATACTTGTAGGTAATACTAAGGACTGGATTTCAGATATAATGCATGCTGCTAAACAGCTTAAAGTTAACGCTGGACATGTCCCAGGTACTGACCTTGGACCGGTCATTTCACCTCAATCTAAAAATCGAATTCTGGAGCTCATTGAAGCTGGTATTCAAGAAGGTGCTAGCTTACCGCTTGATGGCAGAGATATTAAGGTTCCTGGATTTGAAAAAGGAAATTTCATAGGACCTACAATTTTGACAAATGTCCAGGTATAAATAATCTAGTTTTTCTTACTCGGCTAATGTCTTAGAAACTAACTTAAATGTATATTTAATTTTAGTTAAACATTTTTCGAATGCTGCTACGTATTATTTTTGAGTAATCAACAATAAGTATACTAATAAGTAGGTTTTTCATATTATTGTATAATTTTGAACAGTAGCAATCGTTCAACTTATTACACTATCAGAAATTATTGGAATATGTTTAATCATCCATAATTTCTTTATTTAACGTTTAATATTTAAATTTCTATTAAAATCATTGTTTAAAAAACTGTTGATTTACATTTAAAAATTTCAGATCCATTTTTCTTTTTGCAATAAATAATGTTGTCATCCATAAAAAATAAAAATTTTTTTCACATGGTCATGTAATATAATAGAACTGGTAAAAACTGATTTTTTGCTACTAACATAAACATGTAAGCCTACTGAATCCATCTGCACCTACGTACATCTAAATAATAGATAAAAACAACAAAATGTTTACACATACACAATCTGTCTTTTGGATACAAAAAATATCATTGTTATGTATAAGAATTTTTATTTGAAAGATGTTGATGTTGTACTTACGATGAAGCTAAACTGTAAGTGTAAACGATCACAAAAAAAAGATTTGACTAACCATAAGTCCAAAACAGGTGCGGAAGTTAAAGAGTATTTACGTAGACTGTTTAAAAGAAAAGGTGAATTTTGAATTTTTTTGAAAAATATTTATATTAATGCACTTGTGCCAGCACTTTTTATAATTCTCAAAGCACTTCTGAAAGGGCTTTTTGGTATGGCCATCAGCTTGTTCTACCTTTCTGACTTTATTTCATTGATTGTGGCAAAACGCGTTCCTTTTATTGGTCTCTCCAATTTTTGGAGTTGTAAAAAGTCACAGGGAGCCAAATGTGGTAAATATGGTGGTTGAGGCATGATTACGGTATTGTTTTTGGCCAAAAAATCACGAACAAGTATGGATGTGTAAGCTGGTGCATTATTGTGATGCAGAATCCATAACTTGTTTTCCCACAATTTCAATCGTTTCAGTTATCAACAACAAACTACTAATCCAAATTTGTTCATAATACCTACGATATAATAATCGTATGTGTACTAACATAACAAAAAAAATAACAATAATCGAATGTACATGGCCAACAAAAATTCAAAATTCACGTTATCTTTTGAACAGACCTCGTAGTATAAGGAAAATGCTATAAACATAAACTACATAACACAAGCACTTTTTTAAGTTGAATGTATACGTATTATTTTTATCTGATCTTTAAGAAAAAAAAAAAAAATTATTACAAGTGATATTTATATCAACTAAGACTTACAAAATAGTGAATTACGCTGTATAGCACCACACTATCTGGGTTGACTGCATGCAAGTGCAATAGCACGTTTATACAGAAAAGTTATCTTTAGTTAATAAACCAGTAAAGCATCATAAGCCGCTAGCTTTGATTTGATCTAACAGCATACTATGATCACATGGTACAAAGGTTAACAACTGTTGGAAACATATATATCTTTCTAGAATATAGAGTTATTCAAATATAGTATTAAATGCTCCCTCTAACATCCAAAGATCTTAAATACCCTTAGATCTCTTCTACTAGTACCCAATTCTGACCGTCCAACAAGGGAGTCTTTGCTGATTTGAGTTACTTGGACAGTCCAAGATCCTATAGAAGCGCTTTCTGTAACATCATGCTTCTTACGATATTTTTTTATAGTGGTACCACCTACAGAAATTTAAAGTGTAACCAGTATATGTATGCATGTTTGTACACTGATTGTATTGCTACTGAACGCTGGACAGTGGATATTTCTAGTTTAGGGCTTCATTTTTTCACGTACCTTCCGATTTGTTAAGATTTTCATTTGATCGGAAACTATTGACATAAGCACAATAGTAGAAGTACTTGCGCTTCGATTGTTCGGTGATAGTCTTACACAGTGACGCAACATAGAAAAACGATAAGAGCGGTACTATAAACAGCGACCCTTACTTTTGCTAGCTGACGAGGTAAACTGCTAAAAAGCGTCCATAAAGATCATAACTTTCTACTCGAGTGCCTCAGTAATTAAACTAGATCATTACAATAAAAACTATTCGCTCTCCCGTTAACATTTTTTGCAAAGTGGTAACTACTATCACTAGTGCTTATAGTGCAAATTTCTTGAGGAACGGTTTCGTACTTGCTAAACTTATAGACTGGACGACCTGCAGTTAGACCAGAATTTATGTTTGTTAAGTTGCAAATAGTTAATACCTAGATATTATTATGTGTAGCCCACCTGAATGTGATTATTAGTTGGATATAGAAGAGACATTGCTTAATTGTAATCACTTGTAGAATTTTTCTTTGCTTGTTGATGAGTTTAACTTCAACCGTGGCGCCAACTTTATCTTAAGATGGATCCTCACCAATTAATTTGATGCATTTGGCCTGGAGCCTCTGTTATTTAATCCCACTTATAAAACTCATTCTTTGCCCACTTCAGTTGACTACATTTGTATTAGTAATCGTTCTCGTGTGAGTGTGGACCAATAGTTTGTCTCTCTATTTATTTCTAGATATAACGTTTTATTGGCTGAAATTAAATTTTTTGTGTCTCCACCGTACTTCAATCAATTGTTGTATGTCAATGATTTTGGATATTCGACAACTTGGAAGACCACTACTATTCATATTATCCTCAATCGCTACTGCTCTCACTACCTTTGCACAAAAAATCTTGTATTATGGCCAAGTGGTCCCTTTGATAACACCGTTCTTATTGTGGGTGAGACCGCCAAAAACCTCGAATCACTACTAAGGAGGATATCTTTAAACTGCTTGCGTATCAAACCCAAGAAGTCAGAAGCCACTTAGCTTGCTACCAGAAATTTTATTATTAAGTGGCAGTAAAAGCACTTGCCAGAGTTACGTATTGGTGCAGAAATAATTAAATATTGGGATGTTTGTAGAATACTTATTGTATTCATCAATAGCACGCTGTTTAGCTTCCATCAAACCAACGCCACTGTTTGCAAGTGTTATGCTGTTTAGATGTGCTTGCTAAAGTGTGGGAACTGTCTATCAACAACGTGGCAACTTGGATAATTGAACAGGCTTATTTTTGGACCTCTACATGGAGCTTAGCATAAAACTGAACTGTTTTATAAATTCTGAATTGCACTTCTTTAAGGACATTAGGATTTACGTAAAAGCACATTACTCCAGCATACAGGCTAATTCAAGTGCTTTATAATGACAATCATGACTATAAGTATCTGTATTTAATTGCAAATGCCATCCATTAAAGTGTTACTTATTATATACTTGACAGTCTTCATTGCCATGCTATTGACATATTAGAGTCAAAGAGATGTTCTAACATACACCTTATTATACCTATTCACGTATAAAATACATACTAATAAATGTTCATAGTTTACACGTCAAAGTTCTGGAACAACGTAACCGTTGTTTCAAGGCGATTGGCAGGCAACTTTCAATTCAAAATGCGTTTATGTCAATGCTTCCTCTGATCTCGACACAGTAACAGTTGATCAACAGTGACTTTTAAGGGTCTGAACTACTAGTCTAATACGCATGTCTGCACGCAACATTAGTTAAGTCAATATTTTTTTGTTTTTTTTTGTTAGTACGAGTATAATGACAGTTGTTATATTTATATCACAGAAACATGGGACTCAATTTCCCTGGTACGTAAGCACTCCATTAACTTAATTGTAAATATTTTTAATTATGTCATATAAACTATTTATCAGTGTTCTTGTAAGACTCATTTTAATTATCTCTGCATAAGCGTATAGCAGATTAAAATAGAGCGCCATATTTCACTAAAAAATAAAAAACTATTATCAAAAAGAAAGCTACTTCGATGTTTAATAAGCTGCTTTTTCGATCTAGACTATGAACACAAAAGTATATATTGAAAATGCCGTTTATGGGGTATAACAAGTTTTGGGCATTTTTCGGGTTAAAAAGTCATTTAAAAAAAAAAAAACTAATAATTTTACCAAATTTCTGAGGAAAAAATACGTAGGTAAGATGTTTTTTGAAACTTTTGAGAGTTTTTTTTAGTGTTTTTACTGTAAGCTGAGAATTAAGATTTTTCACGCTCGGTAGGAGAGTTAGCATACAACGCTTCATATCATACATCTTGCACTAGTAACATGGCATCTGGAGTCTATTTTGAAGTGGCCATCACGTGACCGTAGGTGATTAAAATCAGTAACCAAGCAAGTAAGCAGCTGGCAAAAAATTTGTTGATAATGGCGCAAGATTCCATGGGTAATTTGAATCAAATTACTAAAATTGCTTGGACCATAAATAGGCCAAAACTTCATTTTTTAAAATTTTTTTTCTCTTTTCTAACTAGGTGCAGGAAAATTTAAGTGCAGTTGAATTACTCGCTGAGCTTGGTCTGTAAGTAAACGAAATTAAGATATTCAAGACTGCAAAAATTTGTAAGTATAATTGGCTGCACTTAATAAAACTAGTAATTGTTGTGGATGTGAGAAAGGTGGGCTTTAAAATAAGAACAGTAAAAATATATTTTATACAAATAGTTTTATAAAAAAACACATATTATTAAACTGGAAATATAAAAATATTTAAAATTTACGCTTCTGTTGTTACGCTAAGACTTACTTGTTTGAATACAGACATTACTTACAGTACAATTCTTTCTTGAATGATTACGTCTAGTGATACGATTAAAAAGGTTACAGCTTTTTTTTGTTACTAAAAGTATCTGATAAAAATATTTATCTGTTGCACTCTAAATAAATTGGTACAGTCTTGTCCAAGCAAACATAAAAGTGTAAATAACAACCACGAACTGTAGGGGAACATAGGGTCAAATGGACATCCCGGCTCGGAAAAGGGTGGGATGGATCTTAGAAACAAAAATATATTTTAAGCTGATTATTTTTTAATACGCATTTATAGCATTTATACTTTTATCCTCCATAC